CCTAGCCCAGGGGTTCCTGATGGCTTGGGGCATTCGAGGAGGGCAGGCAGGACTCTTTCCCCTCCCTGCTGGAAAGGGCACTCACCAATCTGGGACTGTGCCACCAGAGTGGAAGTACGATCACAGAGCGGAGAAAAGGGCAGGCCCAGCTCTGCCTCCTTGTCACCCTGGGGGAGAAGGGGACAGGGCAGCAAAGCTCCAGAGGACCCGTCAGACCAGCCAGGTCTGGGGCCGAGCTGAGGGGGTGGGAGTTGTTGGCGGAAGAGAGAGGGATTTCTGAGCCTTTCATGGGGGAACTAAGTGATACACAAATGACATGCAAATTTGGCAGCGACAGCTAAGCTTGTAGGATAATGAGATTTTTATCCAGTGGTTTGGGGATCTGGTCTGAAGCTGCGGGTGGCTGAATTAAAGTGGAGAACACTTGAGAGAAAAGAGGCCCTGTGGGCAAGGGGAGACAAAGACGCCATGCTACCTGGCGGAAGAACTCCTCCATGAGAGCCTTGGTCCAGCGGCTGTGCACTGCCCACTGCTTAGTTGGGTGGCTGATGTCCGCAGCGTGGAGCAGTAGAGACAGGGCCTTGGGCTTGTCGATCCTGGTTGGGGCAGGTGACAAAACAGGGGAGACTGGTCTTTTAGGCAAAGACGTAACTCCCCACCTCCCTTCCCCACACAAACACAGTTTCCCAAACTTTGAATGCTCTCTGATGCTACACACACACACCCACACACCCAGAGGGCACCTCCAATAGATGTACACACACAGGAGGCAGCACAGCTTAATGGCGGAAAGCCCAGACTCTTAGAAACACAGGGCGCCGACCAGAATCCCCAGTGTACCTAGTGCGCACGAGCTGTGTGACAACGATCAAGTTGCTTGAGCTCTCTGTACGCCCATGCCCTCAATCCTAGACTGGAAATAAAGAACAAAATCTACCCCGCGGAATTCTTTCAGAAGTTCTTAGAAGCCTGTCTGACACACAGCAAGCGCTCAGTAGATGTCTGTAATTATTATTATAAATGTGATTATGAATATGCCAACAGTGACATGCTCGAACACTGCACACCCTCCCCCCCACAAGATACCATACACAGGGATCAACGCACACCTTCAGGACACACACAGCCAGCACTTACACACATGTATACACTCCTACCTACTTTTAAGCAATGGTCTGTCATTAGGGCAATTGTCCCTTAATTTCTCTTGACTCATATAATTCTCTCAATAGCCCTACTGAAGTAGAAACGCGTGGCACGCTGCTATAGGGGAAGGTATATTATTTTGACTATTTCCCAGGCAAGGCAACTGGGGTGCAGAAAGGTTTCATGACTCTCCCAACCTTCCAGAGAAAGTCTGTCCTGAATTTAGGGTGCAAACCCAACTTAAACCCCTAGTCCAAAGTACGCTCCGCACAGTGGCTGCCTGGACTGTGCATAAGCCCAAGACAATCACACACACACACACCACACCACACACTGACACAGAGAGCACTCGGGCTCCTGCAACCAAGAAAGTCCAAGCAAAGCCCTGGCAGGCCAGTCAGCATATGCATGCCCCTAGTCCGTGCACAGCCTCCCTCCGACCTGGTCCCAGTCCCAGTCCAGCCGGGTCTACCTCTCCAGTTGCTGCAAGGCTGTCTTCATGGACTTCACTTGCTGGAAATGGCAGGACATGTCTGTGGCCAGTACCATCTCGATGACCAGGGCACGCAGCTCTCTGAGTGGACAGAATCAGAGACGGGATCACCCCCCCAGCCCTGAAACACGGCTGAAACGGAAACAAAGGGTTGGGGTGCAGGGGTCTCTTAGGGATGTCCGACCCTGGCTTCTACTCACACAAATTCATCCCTGGTGAGGTTGATGAAAATGTTCATCTCGTCATCCTGCATCATTCGGAAAACGGAGCTGATGTGGTGGTTCTCCAGCACCGAGCGGTCGTTGTACAGGATGGCACACTCTGACCTGCAGAGCCAGAGGCTGTTGTGCTCAGCCTCTCGTAAGGGGGCACTCTAGAAACCACGCCACCACCTCCACGTGGCCCCCCCTTGCTCCTGCCACATCCCCACTCACTTGGTCTGGATGTGGAAGCTGTTGGTAGTGCCCGTGTGCTCATAGTCATGGATGGCGGCAGCAAAGATGATGGCCAAGACCTCAATCTCTGACAGGCAGTGCTGGGGGAAAGGATGGGATGAGGGCCGGCTGCCACTCGACCAGTCACTTCCCCACCCAGGGAAGCCCAGTCAGCTCGTGCCTTCTCTTCTGCGGCACCAACTCCCAGGACCAATGCAGTCAGCGCTCTGTGTCCCTGGAATGGCCACACACTCGCCTCTATTCCAACCTGGGACATTCCCCCTACATCCCAACACACAGCCCCGGTACTGCCCAGGCATATAGGATTCCTGGGGAATCCTCTGCGGAGCCCTGGCAATGTAGTGGGTTACACATTGGGCAACTCAGGGGCAGTCAGGACGGACTCAATGGCAGTAAGTTGTGTGTGTGTGTGTGTGGGGGGGGGGGTGTTTCTTTTTGTTTTAAGTTAGGGAATCCTCTAGAATTGAATCAACTCAACTTGACCCTAAACTTTAGGTGGCCAAAAAGAACTGCCAAGAGAATGATGAGAAAGGAACTACAGCCTAGTTACCTCCGTTCTACAACCATAAGATCTTGAATCCCAACAGCGATCCCCAGGGCACCTACCACCATCCCTGTGCGGAGCAAGAAGCAGTGGACGGTCTGGGTTACGTCAGCTGCATGGATCTGGTTGTGATAAGGATTCTTGTACTTCCCATAGCCCGTCTCCAAGGCTTCCAGGAAACTCATCAGAAACACAGTGGGAATCTGCAGGAGGAGGGCGGAAGTGGCGGTGGATCCAGAGGCGGCAGGAATGGCAGGGGGCTGCTGAGTCCCCGCAGTGGTCAGCAGCGGCCGGTGCACAGGCCCCGCGTGCTCGTGAATCTGCGCTCCTGTCCTGGCGCTCATATCCTGCCCACCGTGTGACCTTGGGAAAGTCACGTGCCTCCTGGCGCCTCAGATACGGAATTTGCAGAATGAGGATGATACCACCTACCTTGAATGTAATGAGATAAGTACAAGGCACTTATTAGTAAGTGCTCTCTAAAGAGTCGCTATAATTATTATTTCCCCGGAGGATTTTAAGGAAAGGAAAGCTTCCCTTCTACCTTCCTTCCAACCACCCCAGCCTACTCCCAAACCCAATTCCATGGGAGAGGGACTCAGGATTAGATGACCTGCTGAGGCCCTTTCCAACTAGACTCCTCTGAGAAGCCTTCAAGGACCACCTTCCCTCCACATGCGCGTACGCATGCGCACACGCCCTGCAAGCACCACAGCCCAGAGCTGTGCTCAGCTACTCTCAATGCTGTGCCGGGCTCTGCTTTCTCTGTGTCCCTGAGCGTGTCCGCTTCCTTCAAGAGACTCAAGGCTCCCAGAGGGCAGGGCTGGTCTCTTCACCTGTCCCTGGTCTCCCAAGGCTGGGATGGACTGAGTCAGGGCTTGGGTGGGGGGGGGGGCGCATCTGTAGAAAGGAGGGGTAGAAAACACGGGAAAGGCTCCAGGCATCTATCAGACCCTCACGTTCCCCCACCCCTGGAGGGCTGTGCCCCAAATTCAGGGAATTTTAAAGGACTGTTTCCATAACAACTGCCCTTGCTTTTGTGTTGCCATGGCATCCCTGAAAGGAAGGGGAGGGGGGAGCAGGGGAGGGACTAGATGCCCAGGAAGCGAATGTGGCACTTGACAAGGTCTCTACCACCAGAGAAAATTAAATCAATAAGCCACCCCTCTCTCTTTAAGTGCCTTGGAGCGAGGTAGACAGGCTAGGTCAACCCCAGCCCCACATAGCCAGCGACCCCTGGGGTACCCAAGCCTAGTCCTGGGTAGGAGAGTAATGTTCAGAAGAAGCTGGGATCTTGACTATCACTGGTAAGCAGTTAGAAGAAACAGGCGTTGGGGAGAGTCTTAGGAAAAAGAAGATGGTGCTGTGCTCCTCCTGAAGAGGGCGGGACTGTTGGGAACAGAAGGACACTGCAGAAGGGCAGGCGCCAGGAAGACGCTAAGGAAAAGCCGGACTGAGCATCTCAGGAAGTTTGGGAGACCCTGGAGAGGGGTGGAAAAGAGAGGAGTCGGGGAGCAGAGAAGGCCACACATGATGCTGCCTGTTATGCTCAAGGGGACGCAGCCTTCCAAAGCCCATCCGGGCGGAGACGCTCCACCTGACCCTTCTAGAGTGTCCTCAGGATGCAGGGGTCTTCCACCCTTCACCACCACCATCTCCTGCCCGGCCCCACCTGAATGTGAACTTCCCCTCCCCTTCCAAAGGTGCTTCCGTGTAGAAGTGTTTTTTCCTGCCCCCCAGTCCCAAAAGATGCACCCTTTCTAGCACAGGATCAGGAGGGAAATTTAATCCCATATGCCTCTTCCTCCTGGCTGGCCAAACTGCAGAGCAAGTGGAGTTCACACACCCTCAAACAGCCCCACCCTCGGCCTGCCAGGAGCGGCTCCCTCTCTATAGCAGTCCTTGGACAGAGACCAGAGCTGCGGGAATGGGAGGAAGTGGCCAGTTTTGGGTTTTTCCCCTGAGCAGAGCTCCTGGGAAAACAAATTGAGAGACTCTAGTCCCAAAGGGCCCCAGCTGACAGCATTTGCACCGCGGAGCCTCTTTCCACAGGCAGGAGGCAGGGCAGCCGAAGGGGAACTGCACGGCACCTTGGAGAGGACAAGTTAGGGAAGGAAAACTGGGGGTGCCAGCCGACTCCCAGGCTAGATGGCTTTGGACCCAGAATGGTCCCCTCACAAGCGGGAAATAAAGTCAGAGGCAGGCTAGACTTAGAGAAGAGGGTTCCTTCCCTGATGGGGCTTGAGGGAAAAGGTCTATACTGCGGTGGTTCTCAACCTTCCTCATACCACGACCCTTTCATACAGTTCCTCATGTTGTGGTGACCCCCTCCAACCATAACATTATTTTTGTTGCTACTTCATCACTGTAAGTTTGCTACTGTTATGAATGGGGCGACCCCCGTGAAAGGATCGTTTGACCCCCAAAGGAGTCGAGACCCACAAGTTGAGAACCACTGGTCGACTGCATCTACTTGGTTGAAAGCTTTCAGAAGAGTAACAGGAGGCTGCTGCCGGGACATCGGAGGCAGGCCGAGGCCTCACCTTGAAACGACTGATTAGACTGTGCCGAGTCAGCAGCTCAAAAACAATGGTCCTCAGGGCGTGGTCATCCGCTGCCCGGTTCAAGGAGAAGACATCAAAGCACCAGAGATCCAGGTTCTGTGGAGAAACAACAGATGAAGCCGGGAGGTTCTCAGGAGGGGCTTCTCAGCAGCAGGAAGGGTTGAAATGAGCCTCCCAGGCAAAATCCCCAATAAGTCCAGAGTCACGTGGAAAGCAGACAAACAAAGAAGTGAGCTATTGGGTCTCTTTTATCCTCGGTGATCTCTCAGCCCGGAAGAGACAAGGAACACACAGGTTTCCTCTCAAGCAGGCAAAAGTAGTTTGAGAAACATGGGCACGATGGCTAACCGGGGAGGGCAAACCCCCTGCTTGAGAGAATCTGGAAGTCCCAAGGTGCCTCTCAGTAGCATAGTGGTTAAGCATTGGGCTGTGATCTGTAAGGTCAGCAGTTCTAAACCACCAACAGCTCGGCTGGAAAAGATGGGGCTTTCTACTCCTACGCACACTTAACAATCTCAGAAACTCACAGGGGCGGTTCACATCTGCCCTATGAGGTGGATAATAAGTCAACATCGACTTGATGGCAAAGAGTTTGGGTTTGGGTTGGAATGTCCCAATGGCTACCCATTCCCCCAACCTTCTCTTTCCCCCCAAACCAGGGGTCACCTTGAGACAGTGGAGGACCGCCGTGGAATGAGTGGGGCCCACAGACGTGTACGTTCTCCGGAACATCCTAAGGAAAGAAAAGACAGAGAGGTCCAGATGTGAAGGTTTGAGGAGGGAAGGTCTGGCCAGGAAGCAGTGTAGGGACAAGCCAAGGGTGTGTGGATCGATCCTTCAAGGGGAGGTCCTGAGAGCCCCGTGTGGCTGGGAAAGAGGAGCCCAACTGAGGCAGAGAGAGCCGAACGGAACGTGGGAGAGCCTCACCGCTCCACGAAGATCCCGGCCTGCACCGCATGCACGATGCTTCGGAACTTGGGCTTCTCCTCCGCTCGACGCCCTTTCGCCCGGGCTTGCTGGGTGAAGGTGGAGGCCAGCCAGTCCCGCACCTCGGAAGGCACAGCGTCTGAACGCAGCTCCTGCAGCTCATCCTCCGTGTCCAAGATTTGCCTGAGACCACAGAAGGGGAGTCACAAAGGAGAGAAAGCAGGTGGCCAGCCACACTGCCACCTCAGGAACTTATGCCAAGGGCCTTCTGCCTCTGCCTCCCCCTTCCTTTACTCTTGCTTAGTTTGCCTTTTTATTTCTGCTTCTCTGACACTTCCCCGGTCTCTGTGAGGTAGAGCATCCCAACTCTGGATGGGTTCAAGCGGGCAGTGGGATAGCTAGCTATCACCTGTCAAGGAGGCTGAGACAGAGCAGCACTGTCCAGGAAAAGTCCAATCTAAGCCACAGAAAGGGCTGTCAATGTTCCTATAGCTTCATCACGAAGTAAAAACAAACAGATGAGATTCCTATTCAACCCATCTCAAGTATGGCCGTTTCTACGTGAGACCAATACCAACTGTATTAATGAAATTACGCTTCAAAAACTAGTGTGTCAATGGATGGATTGCGATAAGAGTTGTACGAGCCCCCAAGAAAATAATTTAAATTTTAAAAAAGAAGACATACATACAGAAAAAAACCCCGAGCGTGTATTTCACATACCCATGTCAATTGGCTAAGCACAGTTCAAATGCTTAATTGCCCTGTGCGGTTGACAGCTCCCCCTGTTGGCAGAACAGCTGTGGCGGGCTCCCTGAGTGTGCCAGGGAGAAGGCTGGGACTAGGTGAGCATCCAGGTCCCTTCCAGCTCCGGCTTCCGGCTCTCTGAGGGTCTCTATCTCTGCATCTCTGTTGGTCCCTCTGCTTGACTAGCTCTGCCATCGTTTCTACCTACAGCCCTTTATAGCTGCTCCGCCCCACTGTCTTTCTTCCTGCCTCTGTCCCTGCCACCAGCATTCCTTATCGCTGGCTTTCGGTCTTCCTTGGTGTTTCTGGATCACTGCGTCTGCCCGCTATCTTCCCCCATCTCCGGCGTCACCACGCTCACCGAGTCTCATCTATGTAGACGGCCTCCAGCAGAGAAGCTGTGTATTCCAGGTTCTTCTTCAGCTCCTCGATGTTGACCTCCCCATTCTCCAGCTGCTTCACCATGTAGCGCAGCCTGTGGGGGAGCAGACAGGGATCTCCCGCTTAGTTAGGCCCTGCTGCCTCATCGTGACACCAGAAGCCCCCTCACTAGGGTGCATGTTGCAGTGACAGTCCGTCTTCCATAAACAATGAATAATTCTAACAAAAATAACAGCGGCTAATGTGTTTGTGGCCGGGTTATTGCCAGTGCCTGAGGTATTCAGCTTACCGCTCCCCAAAACGTAATCCCCGGCTTTTCCTGACTCTACTGTCCTCACCCACCATCTGATCCCTCAACCCCTCCCCTTGTCAGTGTTTCCTGCAAACTCTTGGTTAAACTGCCCAGGCCCAGCAGCATTAGGCAGACACAAGCCTCAGAGGTGGTATGCTGAGGATGATCTGTGTCTTTGTCTGCAATAACAAGCTAAAAGTGATGTCTCCCTTGAGAGAGGGTGTGGGGAACCACAGCAACCACAATAAACCCCAAGATTCTTTCCCTAGTCATAGAGGTGACAGGGAGGTATATGTCCCCAGTCCCCGCTGTCCCTGCCAGGGACAGCAAAGACACAGAACAAAGACCATTCTGAATGCTCTCACCCAGCCTCAGTCCATCCAGGCAGAGCTAATGGATTAGGATTCCAGAATCCATCAGCCAGGACAAAGCAGAATTAACCCCTGCCTTCCCAGGCCCGCAGCTATAGCACCTGTCCCCTGCCTCGGCCCCAGCCAGCCACGGCTTTCTCCAAAGAGAAAGTGGTCAGGGTGGAGCCAAGGAGATGGGAAGGTTCTCATTTCCTGGAGGCTTTCTCTGCTGGAAAGGGCAGGCCCCTCATATTTTGCACTTGTGAATTCTAGGGGTTGCTGATTAACCCACAGGCTTCTTAGAAGTCTAGCCAGTCTAGCCTAGACCATCATAGAGCAAGCAAAACTCTTTGACACTAAATGCTGATTTTTTTTTAAGTCAAGTATATCCCTCTCTCTCAGCTCCTTCTCCCAGCCCCACCCCACTTCTAAGACCAAGACGGGGTGAAATGGTGGCCATCACAATTCCTCACAAAGAGGGGCTTCAGAAACCCTAGGTCACCCATGAGTCAGGGAGGAGAAGAGAATGAGTCAGGGACCAGAAGCTGAAATTAGCATCAATTCCGGGGAAGCTGGGGGAGGAAGAACAATGGCATTCCTGAACAGAAGCTGCTCTAGAATCCCGGGGTCTTAGCAGCTCAGGAATCACGGGATGCCCAAAATAGCCGACCCCCAACTACCACCACCAAGCTTCACAGGTCACCTCTCACCTCTAGGCCTGGATACAAACATGGGGGAAGGGAGGGGGGAAGCCAGGAAAGTGAGAGAAGTTGGAAGAATAGATGGCAGGCCCCTCTGTGGGCTCTCTTCCAATCTCAAGCGTAGCCTTGCTACTGCCGTGTCTCCGAGTGGAGGCAGCGGGTCGTTGGACAAGGAGGAGAATGTGAACAGGAAGTTTTTAATCAAGTGCGGCCCCAGCTCAGGCTTCACCAGGACAGAGGAGAGAGGGTGGACAACATAAAAGGATTTCCTAGCCCACCCAGAGATCACAAAGCAAAGAGGTTATGTTCTCCCTTCCAAGCTCAGACGTAAGCATGGGCTCCCCTCTCCTGACTTAGATACTTCAGAGAGGGGCCAGCGAATGTGGGGACACCACCGCAGAAGAAAGGCGGGCCTCAAAGGCAGCCCCTAATCCAATCACTCCTTCCCCACCCCACCCCCATGCCCAAGCAAGACCTAATCTTCGAACTCATTCCCCACTTTGAGGTCAAGACTGATCAGTTTTATTCTCACCCCACAGCTTGAAACGCACATCCCCAAATGCACAGGCTCCCAAAGTGAACAGCCAAGCCCACGGTGTTCATCTGCATGTGTTCCCAGAATCTCCAACAAAGCTGCCAGCTCTACATTTTAAAAAGCTACTGCTCCTACATTATCTCATGTTATCCTCACCACAGGGCCCGGGGAAGGCGGGAGAGAGGCGGGAAGGAATTGCTACACCCATTTCCAAGGCCAAACCCAAGCTTCAGGAGTATCTATGGACGATGTACTGAGCACCAACACCGAGGAGGAAGGCATCCTATGCCCAAACTTCTCCCCTTTCGTGCCATGAGCCCTTAAGTAAGCACTAACTACTCAGGGCGTATCGGACTGTGGCCCATAGGCCACCAGCATCAGAATCACATGTGATAAAGATACAGAGCGTTGAAGATACAGATTCTACACCCACCACACCTTCTAAGCCAAAACACCTGAGGGTCTGCCTAGGGCTCTGCCTTCTTAGCAAATGTCCCAGATGATTTGTATGCACTTGAAAGTCAACCATGATTGTAAAGCCTCATTTTCTTTATCTGTAAAATACACAGATGATCATTTATATGGGTTAAGGGAATTCGATGAATTAGTAATATGTGCAGAGTGTCTACCAAAGTACCTGGCATATACAGAGGGTCCCCATAAATGTGATAAGCTTCAGAATGGACTTGCCAGCACCCTGCGGGGACCACCCCACCCCCACCCCCCAGTCCATATCACAGACCTTTCTCCAGCCCTAGTCCAGATGGAGAAGTGAGTGAGTCTAGGTTAGATGCCAGTTGCCAAGGGGGGTGGGGTGGGAGGTCGATTCTGATTCAGGGTGCCCCTGTGTGTTTCAGAGTAGAACTGTGCACTCTTGGGTTTGCCCGGGTTGACTTGGGGGAAGCGGATTACCAGGTCTTTCTTCCGAGGCATCTCCAGGTGGAGTCAAACTCCAATCTTTTGATGAGCAACTGAGCATATTAACCCATTAACTGCTTGTCCTACCCACCTACCCCCAGGTTAGATAAAACTAAACGAAACAAGGTGAAGACCCCTGCTATGGAGTCAATTCTAGCTCGTGGTAACGCAGTAGGACAGAATGCAGATGCCCAACCGGGTTTCCAAGGCTTCTTTTACAGAAGCAGACTGCCAAAGTTTTCTCTCAAGGAATCGCTGGTAGGTTTGAACTGCACACCTTTCTGCTGGCAGCTAAGTACTTAACCACTGTGCTACCAGGCCTCCTCGTCTGTGAGACACTCAAACCACACTGAGTGTTCCAGCTCCTGTGATTCTATCATCTACATCGTCAGCAGCTCCTTTCTTAGATTTTTTTTTTTACCATCAAGTCAAATCCTACTCAAAGTGGTCCTACACGGGGTTTCTGCGGCTACAAATGTATGGAAGCAGGCCTCCTCGCCCTTCTCCCATGCTATAGTTTAGCTTAGGCTGCTAACCAAAAGATCTAAGATTCAAACCCATCAGCCACTCCCTCCATGGGAGAGAAATGACACTGTGTGCTCCTATAAAGATTTGCAACCTTGGAGAGTCACCGTGAGTCAGGATTGACTGATGGAGGAGGGTTTGGTCTATTTTGCTTTGTGTTTGAGTTTGAGTTTGGTTTGGTTTTTAACCTTATCTGAGTCTTATAACCACCTTATAAAGGTGGTTAAGAGCCCTGGAGGTGTAGTGGTTACCCGTTCGGCTGTGACCTGCATGGTTGGTAGTTTGAAACCATCAGCAGTTCTGGGGTGAGGGGGTGCCGGGGAGCCTGGGATTTCTACTCCTGTAAACAGTCACAGGGAGTCGCTGTGAGCCAGCACTGACATGATGGCGGCAAGTGTGGTTTGGTTTAAGTGACTTAAGGTCACACAACTTCTCAGTGGCAGTCCAGTGAGCAAGGCCTACGACCCAAACGTGTGGAGCCTAATTGAGCCCCGAGCGTGGACTAGATTGGGGTAGAACAAGCCCAGTCGTCGAATTCGCTCAGAGAGAGGCTGGAATCCAGCCCCCACAGCTTCTTCAGCATCAGTCAATCCATCCTAATGAGTTTTTGTGTAGCTGTTTGCCCACCATAGGCTGTGAGTGCCTTGTTTATCTTGGCCTCCTTACAGCCTGGCACGTAGTAAGTGCTCAGCAAATGTTCAGAAAATAAAGAAAAGGAAAATGGGAGTGTTTTTAATCCGCTGCTAGGCTATGAGCCAATTGAGATTTCTGAGCCGAGGTTTCTGAAGCCGTAACAGGGAGCCTGAGGAAGAGAAAGAGGTCGTGGGTTGACTCTGAGCACACCCTTCTTCCGAGTTCCTCTTCCTCCCCACACTCCACCTTGAGATCTTGTCCAGGAGCTCCTGTACAGCTTCTGCTGAAATCTTAACACAACACCATCCAGACACCAGAAGGAGGCCGGTGAGGAAGGAGAGAAAGATTGGTGAGCAGATTTGACAAGCGAGGAGTCCAAGAAGGGGTCAGGATTCGAGCAGCTGAAAGGACCCAAGGGCTCAGTTATCCTCCAGGAGTCCTGTAACCCCCACCCCCCTTTTGGGCCTGGCAGGAGTCTCTTATTCTAAAGTCAGGCTCTCCCCAGACCCACCTCACCGCACCTCACCCCTCAAGCTTTTTCTACAGGAAGTCCTTTCTCCCCCACAGAAGTTTAATCCAACCCACTGGCTCAGCCCTCAGAGAATCTGGGACCAGAAGGGTCATTTTCCCCAAAGAACAGGACACTCAACCTGATCCAGTCCTCCGCCAGACCTAAGGAAAACTGGAAGCTTCCTCCAACCGGCCTTCCACTCTACCCCTCTCTGCTTCACCGCCACCACTTCGTGCTCCTCTCGCTTTGGTCCCTGCACCATGGGAAATGCCTCAGATCCGGATCTCTGGCACCCCCAGCCTCTCCTAGCTCCAAGCAGCCAGCTGAAAGAGAAGTAGGAAGCCCAACACCCTAGAAGAGTTTGGCTCCCCTCCTCTTGTCCCCCAGCCCCGCTTCATTTCTTTAGATCCCCAGGTGGCTGATGTTCAGGAGATTTCCGAAGAACCTGCCAGAGCTTCCAACACCCACACTCCCAAGAAGATCACTTCAAGCCAGAGGCCTGGAAGTCAGGAAAGGAAGAGCTTTTAGGTTCTTAAAACCCCAAGAGGAGGATTCAGGGCATTGCAAGGCCCTAACCAGGCTGGGGGGTCCAAAGGAGGGAAACCATGCCGCTACCTACCAGAGGCAAGAGGAAATGAGATGGAAAGAGGGGAATGGCAGGATGGACAGGGGTGAAAACTGGAGATGTTGACCCATGGTTACACACACACACACACACACACACACACACACACACACACACGACTGTGAGGCGGTGGTCTCTCTCCTCCCCCAAACAACAACCCTTGGTGAACCCAAAAGCAACCTAACCTCTTCTTCCCTTCCCCCTCATCCCTGGCACCTACCTGAGGATGGGGCCCTGGAGGTGGCTCCTCTGCACAGGGACAGGAGCTGCCATGGAAATCAGTTTCCTACTTCAGAGGTTCAAAATGCTGGCCCTGGGCCCCCTGGGGCCAAGGGGAGTGACTCCCTCTTGGCTCCCTGACTTCCTCCTCCAGGTCCCAACAGAGCTGAGTAAATTGAGGAGAAACCTTGGGGGAAGCAAAGGAGGGGCCTAGCTGGGGAGCAAGCAAGGGGAGTCATCAGGCAAAGACCCAGCCTCCGGGAACTGGGTGAGAGGCCGAGGGGAAAGTTTTCAATCTGAATCAGACTGGAAACAAGAATCTGTTCTCAGAAGAATCCCAGAAAGGACAGAAATAGCACAGGCCAGCCCCTCTGCTCTCAGGAGGTGGGGCTCCTCTTTGGGGAGAAAGGGTTAGCAGGAAGCTTAAGGGGGGAGGGACAAAGAACTAGAATCTGTGGATGAAATCTGGAGTGAAAAGAATAGGGCCCCAAAAAGATTCCACCACCCACCCATCCCCCCCAAAAAATAAAAACCCAAACCTAGGGGTTTCCAACTCCTAACGGCCCTCAATAAGAGTTCCCGCAATTGTTAATCTGCACAACAGACAGCCTCGTCTTTCTCAGGCAGAGTGGCTGGTGGGTTTGAACCAACGACCTTGTCGTTCATCAGCCCGATGCTTATCCCATAGCACCACCAGGTCTCCTGGCAAGTGCTTCCCCCC